AATGCCTTAGCAAAGGTAGATAATAATATTATCAACCGTTTGTCTGTGTGTGTGGAATTTTCCTTTCGCCAATGTGTGCATAATATCTGTTTTGTTTTGTTCGCTTGAGCGGTGGCTCATCATGGATATTTCGTTATGTTAAGTGGTTATAATCCTTGATGACTAAGTTACCGTATAACCAAGCCAGATGCCCACAATCTCGTAACTGCTTAACACAAAACGGGAAGATGTGTGCAAATCTGAATGTTCCTAAAGTTTTTAACTTTAAATCGACCACCGGCTTCATTACAACCGTGCCTCTCAACTCAACACCATATGCTTATATCATTAACTTTTAAATATTTTCCATTTTTTTCAAGCTACTTAGGTAGCTGGGCGTTACAATTAATCTATGATCCCAAAAATGGTATTCGTCGTACCAGAGGAATTACATCGCCTGAGATAACTGATTCGGAAGTAATCGTATTTTGTCGCGTTCAGGAAGAAGTCTTTCCTGGCGAATGAGAAGAGCTACGTACAAAACAAAAGGTTCGAAAATCGAGCCCATCGATGCACCATTTATCCTCTCTTATCGGCACGTCACCCAATCATTATGCCACAACAACACAAAGCGTCTCACCTCATACAGGCCTATTCTCCCTGTTACCGGTAAAGTAAATTTTGTTACTTTTCTTTAACACCCGAAATTGAATTTGGTATTCTGGCGAACTGTTACAAAAAATTGGGGTCCATTGTCACACACAACCGACCGAGGAACTCCAAACAATATCTCCATTTGCTTGCATACGCTATTTGCCGTGGCAGTACGCAAAGGGCTTGTGACGACTTCACTAAAGGTCCTACCAAATCTACACAAATCATTTCCCAAGGCTGGACTGCCTTGGTTCTCTCTATCATACCCCCAGCTGGCTGTAAATGCTCAGGTTCCACCTGTTGACAAGTCTTGCACGCCCTGACATATTTTGCAATGTCCGACTTCACCCTGAGCCAGTAGAACTTTTGTGAAACGCGTGCAAAAGTCTTTTTCACACCCATGTGGCCTGCTAACGGATTGTTTCGAAATTCCATTTCTACTATCACGCTCTGTAACCTTTTTCCACTCTGGTGAATTGCCATACACAGAAGCAAATCTCGACCTAAAAAACTTGTTAAGGTTGCCACCTTCAACTTCCCACGCTGGATACCAAGGGTTAGTAGTAGTCACCTCAGCAATAACTGGCACACTTCGGGATAGCATATCCGGAACCACATGTCCTTGCCTTTCCGATGCACTATATCAAAATCATATTGCTTGAGCATCAAAGCCGATTTCGCTAACCTACTACACGCATACTTCAACTTATTCAATCAAATAAGTGAATATTGATCGGTGACGACCGTTGTTTACGCGAGTAGCGTAAATCCTTGCATAACTTTGGGCGCTGGCTAACTGCTTCCTATTATTTGGATTTTTGGTTTCTAGCATATATGTATGAATGATTTTGCTTTCATGCATATATGCAAGAATGCAATTCTCAAATGATCCGCGAACTGATACGGCTAAAGTGTTCATTGTTTGCAATGGAATGGACCTTCTAATGGTCCAGGTCAGATATCTTGTTATCTGATCTGTTTGCGTCTTCCCATCCATGCTCCTTGAGTAAGCGATTGGCGTCTGCGCAGCGTCAGGTGCCTCCTATGGCATTGGGTAAAGTCCACAACTTTTTGTAACGAGCCTAGTGCTCAACTTGAATACATTTCACATTCTCCCCCACCCGCTTAGACAACCGTAAACATATGACCGCAGTTTCTCAACCGGGTTTTACGTGTAGACCTTTCTTGTCCACCACGTAGCCCAAATACTTCAACTCAGACCAACAAAAATTACACTTGTCCCTATTTAATCTAAGCCCTGCTCCAGCTAATCTATCCAAAACTTCTTTCAAAATTTCCAAATTTTTCTCAAAAGTATTTGACATGAGGTTCTAGCTCTAATCGTATGAACGAATCTATAAATCTCTGCCAAGTTACTATGGCATCACCTTAAACTGAAATAGTCATCTGCCTGGTACCGTGAACGCCTGGAAGGGCCTCGACTGCTCTTCAACCGGAATTTACCAATCGCCGAAGCGTATGGAAAGGGGTAGATATACCCTATAATCTACACAAAACCTATATGTACTGCCTTTCTTCCTGAACATCATAATTTGAGACGCCCAAGGACTATCCGATTTCTCTAACCCCTTTGTCATTTTTGCATATTCTAAATCTCCTCTTCCATACACGACTGTATGACGAGAGACAAAGAGTAATACCTCTGTTTTACAGGTTCAACTCGTGCCTTTACCCTGATCCTATGCTCAACCAAATGGGTCCGGCCTAGTCCTTCCGGTATAGCCTGGAACGCCCCAGCTATTAAATGACCTAATGCCCTCGACGCTCTATCGCCTAACTCAGAGTGGTCTACTATTGCCACCAACGGTTCTGGTTCAGGCCAAGAGAACGACCACCTCATCCTCTATACATCCGGGAAAATACCCGCCTTGGCCCAAAAAATGATACCAAGATTTCGCCTTGAGGTAACTCTGAAACCACGAGGAAATCCAGGAGAACCGACTTGCTCTCCCCCTCGATTGGTAACAAAACCGAACCTGCTCGCACCATAATCCAACAAAGCCCTAAAAGCAAAATCATGGATCTGAACATCAAAATAAGGGCGTTTACATTTTTTGTATGTTAGTACATACGAATGCCATAGCAAATGTGATTTTTTTGATTATTGTCCATCAATACTGGAGTAAAAATTTTGGTCCTTGCGTACATATGTCCACTTTGAACATTTTCAATTATCCTGTAATCTTATATATAGCAAAGATAAAATTTACTGAGAAATTATGATTTTGTGAAATTCAAGCCGAAACGGTTATTTTTAAGGATACTACTTATTTTGTTGGTGAATATCTGAGCAGTACAACCTTATTAAAAGGCAGAATGAAAGCATGCCAATAACATAATTACATGATTATAATACCCAAGGCTCTATAAATATAGATCATATTAGTTTGGAGAATGTTTTTGAAGAAACTTTTTTTTTTAGATATAAAAAAATTCATGAAAGCGATGTTATGCTGTATGAAATTCCAACATACTCAGCTGTTAGCTAGTTTGGGGAATCACCCGATAGATTCTATACTCCTCTATACCCTGGTACTTACAAACAACGAATAATACATTTAAATACTTTTATTTTATTAAAATCTTAAATATAAAAGAAAATACACTGATATCAACAAAAATGTCCATTGTAATATCACAAATAGTTTTCTTTAACTTGTTGATACTATAAGGCAAAGAAGTTTCTTTCTGTTTACAACAAGGCAATCCGTTCAAGGCATTGTCCCAACAGGATTACAATTACTTTTGAAATGCTCGTTTTCAGAGCATTTTTTTCGCTGCCAGTCAGTAAATATATAACTTTCCGAGTTTTCGTTTTCTATTTGCAGAAGATTACGTGACCTTTCTCTACTCTCAAACTTTGAACCATTTTTATATATTTCCCTGCTCCTAGCCGAAGTATCATATTAGCTTGACCATTGTTTTTAGAAATCAATAGGTGCGTTCAGCGAGCTGAGTGACACACAAAATATTTTTAAATATATATATATTATATTATCTAAGATAATTACTTCAAAATAATAATGCATACCAATATTTTCCATGGCGAAAACTTAACTTCACAACTACTTGGTCGTTTCGGCAGTTGAAGTAGCGGTTAATATGGTCGTTTCGACAGTTGAAGTAGCAGTTATGTGGTCGTTTCGACATCTGAAGTAGCATTGCTCCATGAAAATTAATCGTTCAGTAAAATCGCTCACTGAACATGTTTACTGAGCGCTCACTTCGCTGATTGCACCCAATTTTGATACAGTTGACACTCAGCGTTCTAAGCTTCTCAAAGATTTATGGAGGGTCCTACTAGTTGACAACTCTTCCGAATAATGTATTACTAATTTCATTAGTAGGATGTCCAGGCCTTTGTTTTGGATTAGTACTAAGTGCACTAATAATACACAGTGTTTTTCGAACCTCCATTTAGAACAATGAACAGATTTTTCTATTTCTTGCTGAGGAGAACAAGACACCTCACAGTCGTTGGACTATAACGATCTTCTCTCTCTCACATTATATCATACAGTATTTGTAAAAACTTATCTTCCGATGCTATTTGTCTTGAAGTATGCATCTGTTTACTTACATATATATTTAGATAATTATGCATAAGGAGAGTGGATGGCATTATGTACTGCCAATAGGAAGGTCAAGGTTTGAGCCCTGGTTTTATTAACATCCAAAATGATGGAAAATAAATTTCTAATTACGGTCGCGCTTCGGCAGGGTATGTCAAACCTTCCGAGTGTGTTTCTTACTTTGAATAATAGCTTCTCATAAAAATCCATTCGTTCGAAGGCCGCTTCAGCGGTTATTAAGCGCATTATATATAATTCCCGATTTAATAAAATGTTTTTTTTTTTTCACTTGGAATGAAGTTGACACTATTATTGTAAAAGTCCTTACTACGTGAAAATTGTACTCTTTTGGAAAAACTGATCCTTTTCTGCTAATAATGGAGCCTTAAAGGCCATTCGTTTAAAAAGTTCTGTCCTGGAGATTTTTCTGTATGTTTTTCTTTAAATATACACCAGTAGTCTTGTACTACATTTTTTCCCTTACGGAAATAATGTACCAAAATTTGGCGAAAACTTGAAGCACGAAGAATATTCATCTCTTCTTCGTTATCTGTGTAAGGAAAACCGTACTGCAAAGTGACGCGCTAGTTCTATTTATCTTTACCTTATAATGTTCTTCCCTGCATGCGGAATGCTCTGTTCTGTATTGCGCATGTACATTTCATAGATAGATAGAAACATGTTGTCTTGCTGAGAATAAACGTTGTTTTTGCCTGCCATCAATAAATCGAGCAGTCTTTTAGTACACCTATATCGCAACGGCTATTGGTACGACTACTACTACTACAAAGTATTGCTTGCTTGCATTAGCTACAAAGATTTCGGCTCATTATTTCCTTTCTGAACAAATCAAGTGCCGCAGCCATTTGCCCAAAAATATTAACCAATGATAATAAGATTTTCTGCTTGTAACTAATTACAGTTTCTGAGCAAACTTAAGTGAACGGTGAAATCAACCAAAAACAAATAACCAGCCTAATTAGGAATTGATTTTAAAGTAAACGTGTTAAACTCAAACAAGGTACAAATAAATAAGTAAGAGAAATAACATATGTGGTTGTACAAACAGTGTGTTTACTTGCATATCTCTGTGAAAAAGAAATGGTAAAATGCGAATATACCAACATTCCTACATTGAACATAATGAGATATTGAAGTAATGATTTTTCATTGTAAAGGTCGTATATTTAGCAACATCCAAAAAAGTTACCATATACATACATAGTACAATACATATGTAAATATTTCACATATGTATGCAATCGCTTTACGTTAGGCCTTTTTGCACCATCAGTACAGCATTATTATGTATACCTACATACATACCTACTGAGTCTGAGTCAAGTGTGAGATTCAGCAAGGTAGTATTATAGTCCTGTACGTCTTTTTATTCACCTATATTCAATTTATCATCGTTAATTGGAGTAAAACGCACTTCATGCAAAAATTTTATTATTCATTATTTACTTAGTTGTTGTTTATATTTCTGCTCCAGTTGAAAATATAAACGGTAAATAAAAAATAAACAACTGCTTGTATTTTCCATAAATAAACCTTTGTTCTTTCGGATTAGCGAAGCAATATCCTCTGCCTTAAGGAATACCTAAAATAAAATATATTTTTAATTTTTGATATATAACAAAATTTTTTTTACAATTGCGAAATAAGTTGTAGCGCTATTTTCCCTTTTCTGTGAAAATAGGCTATCATAAATTCCTTTGAAGAATTCAGGGAGCGTCGAAAACTTTTTGTTTCACCTCGTGTCGCCTTGCCCTAACTACTTTCTGTCATCTACTCATACGAATACATACTTCGAACAAAGCTGTCAAAACGCAACTTTGAAAATCATTTTTTAATCATTGAATATCGTCATTCTTTTATGGTACTTTTATTGGAAAAGGAGTTCTGCCGAAGAAGATTGTAGATTATTTGCTTAGCTCTGCAGCTCGTGTTATTTTAAAAAGCAAAAACTGCAAAAGTCACACGATATAAACAGTTTTTTTGGCAATGAATTTTTTCTAATAAGCATTTTATGCTGTGTTATTCGAATTGGTGGCTAGCGAAGTATCACATCGATTACAAATATTATTTCTTGAAGAACCTCATTAGATCTATAACTATAATGTTGGCTATCTAGAATAGACCACACAGAAGGCAGTAGCGTATCTTTGAACTATATTACTTCTCCAGTTTAAGTCTCTTCTCTAAGATAACTCTTTCATCCCCAGGCAAAGCTGAGCACTGTGTAGTGCCTGTGGATTAATAATGCTGAGCTTATATCTCCTTGTGAGTAGCTCTCTTTCCTCCTTCTTTGATTTGGCACATACGCTGCATCATTTATATTTATGCATATCCTTCTCCGCTCCACTCGGTTTTGTGTAGAGCGAGTTTTTTTTTCGATACAAGGCGTTGTTTCGTTTTTTTCTACTAGAGTATATTCAGTTATCCCGACGTATTATTTTTTTAATATCCTAACGGCATTAGGCTTTTCACCCTGCGTACTATTCTCGTACCATTACTTCACAGAGAGGTATCTTGAGATACCCTTCGCTCAGATCAGTTGATCGTTAGAGAAAGGTGGAAGATCATCACGTTCATGGCACAGAAACTTGGGATACGAGTGTCAGCCTCTTTCCCTTGATCCGTATATATTATATTGGTAGAAATTCGTAATGCCTACCTTTCATCTTGCCAAACTTCTGCCTTTGTTTTCCTGCCCTGTTTTCCTGGTTTTGAAATAGGAAAAAACCAGTATTTGTTATGTTTCAGCTCTATCTTATAGTTAAGAAAAATCTATTTAAAAACACGAACTTAAGACTACTGCATGGAAAACATTAATATTCTGACATCCTTTTTTTTTGTTTGATGTTGTTAATTCTTTTTATTTATGACCGTTAAGCTGCTCTGTGAACGTTGACGTACTGAAAATTTTAATACCGACTACAACAATATCAATATGCCAATAAGTTTAAATTGTAATATAAGTATGAGTGTATAAAAGTTAAAAACCCCGGTGAGAGCAATTTTTGAAATATTTAACATTACGATGATGGGCAAATGAACTCACATATACTGTAAAATAATTGGAAAACAAAAAAACATAGTGAATATTAAGTGAATAAAATTTTCTGGTATTTGCTAGTTCTGCTTTTTAGAGAGCTTTACGCATATTATATTATAAATATATAAGTTTGCCCAATATAAAAAATTCCACCGCATAGTATGGCCTCGGTCGCCGCTTGGCTGCCATTTGCACGGGCGGCGGCCATCGGTTGGGTACCAATCGCCACACACCCACTACCGGCACCACCTATACCAAAAGATCGACGTAAAACTGACGACGAAAAACTTTTGATCAATGTTTCGGGTCGTCGCTTTGAAACATGGCGCAATACATTAGAGAAGTATCCAGATACATTATTGGGTTCGAACGAACGTGAGTTTTTCTACGACGAGGATTGTAAGGAATACTTCTTTGATAGAGATCCAGACATATTTCGGCATATATTAAACTATTATCGTACGGGAAAGCTCCATTACCCCAAGCACGAATGCCTCACAAGCTACGATGAAGAGTTGGCTTTCTTTGGTATAATGCCCGATGTAATTGGTGACTGTTGTTATGAAGATTATAGGGATCGGAAACGTGAAAATGCTGAACGTTTAATGGATGATAAATTATCGGAGAATGGCGATCAAAATCTACAACAATTAACGAATATACGACAAAAAATGTGGCGAGCATTTGAAAATCCACACACATCTACCGCAGCATTAGTATTTTACTATGTAACTGGATTTTTTATCGCCGTATCTGTGATGGCAAATGTAGTTGAAACAGTACCCTGTGGCCATAGACCAGGACGTGCTGGTACACTGCCATGTGGCGAGCGTTATAAAATTGTGTTTTTCTGCTTAGACACCGCCTGCGTTATGATATTTACCGCTGAATACTTGTTACGCCTATTTGCTGCACCTGATCGCTGCAAATTTGTACGCAGCGTTATGAGTATTATTGATGTTGTTGCTATACTGCCATATTATATTGGGTTAGGGATCACGGATAACGATGATGTTAGCGGTGCCTTTGTGACTTTAAGAGTCTTCCGAGTATTTCGCATATTTAAGTTTTCACGTCATTCTCAAGGACTGCGTATACTTGGTTACACACTAAAATCGTGTGCATCCGAATTGGGATTTCTGGTATTTTCACTAGCAATGGCTATTATTATATTTGCGACAGTTATGTTCTATGCTGAGAAGAATGTTCATGGCACCAACTTTACGTCTATTCCGGCAGCTTTTTGGTATACTATTGTCACTATGACAACGCTTGGGTAAGTTAAACTTGGCTATATTTTTGATATTAATTTTTTAACATGCCTGAATAATTTATTTATTTTTACAACGTTATTTTTTTAATTGGGTTAAATCAACTCCAAAAATTTCATTTATTCCTATAAGAAGTTATTATTTTTCAGAAGCATACTATAAGAGCACTGTCTTTATCTGCGGGATATCGCATTTGAAAAAATCGAGTTTAAATATTTATTTGTTACTATGCCTTAGTTTTCAGCCCACATATTCACTGTGAAGCGAAAATGTTTTCTTTTACCTAGATAGCGTACCCACAGCTTATTTCACCATTATCTGCGGAATTTTCCGTAGCTATTATGCTCTAGTCCATAAAAAATTTGGGCGAGATCATTCCCTATAGTCTCCCCGAGGGTCATCTCATAGCACTAAGGAGCTCAAGACTAATTTTTATGGCCAAAAGCCAGTTTTTCATATCAAAAAATAAAGAACATTAATTTTGTAAAATAATCATATTGTGAGTACATACCAGTCTTTGTTCCAGTCTGTCTCTTACCATGTTTGCAAAACTTGGCACGACAACCCTACTATACATATGCCGAAATGGATATATTACATTTGCTGTGACACCTTGAACTTTCCAAGTTACCAGAAGCTCAGAGAACATGGGCTTAAGGCTAGGAATAGTTAAATTTATATGGAGAATTTACAATTTTAAAATTTGAAGATTTATATTCGTAATGGAAAATTTCAAATCGGGAACATATTTTCATATTGGCAAAACAAAAGTTAATATTGAGGGAATGTTAATTCGTATTGTGAATATAATAATATTTATTAATTTGAAAACGTATGCATAGAAAATATAATGCACAAAAGCTGTGTTGCTGAATTACAAAAATGGTTTTCAAATACACGCTTGTTAGAAGCCGTTCCGCTGTATATAGCGGTATTTCTTCGTACACTGCGCTGCAATATTTGCTTGTACACTCTGGATTTAACTCCAGAATATAGCTAAGAGATGGTATCCCTTATAAATCGAGAGATTGTATTCCTTATAAATCGAAAAGCTATCTTGACTGTTGCTTTACAAGTGGGTCTTTAAGTTGCTCATTTCACAACTCAAACCAGCACCTATATAGCAAATAAAGTTTTCATTTTGAATAAAGAATATTACCTGCTGGATATTTCCTCAAATATATTAACGTATATTTGGCAGCTCGAAAATGTTCATGAGGATTACTGGCAAATTATTAAGACAATTTCGAAACTATATGACTGATATCCGGTCGAGTTATAACCACCAAGTACATAAGCGGACCAAATAAACTTTAAAAGCTTTTAATATCAATATTTTTGGTATATTTTTGCAAGAAAGTGCCATTAGACCAAAGCGCTGGCCACTGGTTTACAAGTTCTTCATTCCCCAACGTGTCAATAATTCTTCCACATATCGTTGTTGATGTATAAATATTGTGTCTTTGGATTATCAAAGTAAAGCGAAAGAGGACCGCTGCATATTGCTTTAACGTGTTAGTTTAAGCTTTTAATAATGCTGTTAATTTTTTGTTTATCTTCACATGCAGCTAGAAAGTCGTTCACGTGCAATGCAGTAAGTGCGTAAATACAACTGTCAGCTTCACAGCGTCGATACCCTAAAGTTCCACTCAAAACTAGCTTGCTTGTGCCCGAAATGGAATCGAATCAATTTAAAATATTATATTAGAAATTTCGTTGCTCAGATCATCGTAACCCACAATTTTCAATTTTATTCCTTTGGGCTGAAGTTTTGCGCCTGACTTTTGCCTTCGTAGAACTGTCACATTACACCCAAATTTATGGAGATGACACAAAGACTGATTTCTTACCAACCACCCTTTTTACGGAGTCTCTTCACCTAGTTATTTAGTTGGATATCTATTAGGTATAAATGTACTGGTTTAATCTGCTTAAAACCAGATGACTCTAAGGAACACCACGACAGCTCTACCCTCTTCCAACGTTCTAATCGCTCTTTCCGACACATCGTTTTGTTGTGGACAAAAACCAACCGGCATCGATGCAAAATTCTTAGTGTTACTTTTTAAACGAACACAATGCTTCAGGCTTCTTACTCAAAAATAATCGTCAATAAACGTTATGAAGTGCGATGAACCTCCGGCTGGTTTTGTGAACGTCGGACTATCTGTGTACTAGATCGAGCACTTACTTACTTACTTTACTGGTTTACATCTTACTTACACCACTTACGCGATTTTAACCGATTTAACAATATTGCGCCATTCGTTTCTTCTCTTTTGCCTGTTTGGAAATACCAAGTATAGCCATGTCCTTCTCTACCTTCAACTTCTTCTGCTTCCACCCGCGGGTACTGCATCGAAAACTTTCAAAGCTGAAGTATTCGCATTCATCCGGACCACATGACCTAGCCAGCGTAGCCGCTGTCTCTTCATTCGCTGAACTATGTCAATATCATCGTATAACTCGTACAGCTCATCGTACTATTTGCCGCTTCCAATGCGCAAGGACCATAAACCGTCCCATAAACATAACATCCATCTGCGCCATAAAGTAGGACGGGCATGATGAGCGACTTGTAGAGTTTGGAATTGCCTGCTCAGTTCAAATTAGCACCTTTTGGCAAGAATGATTCTGCGCTGGATATCCAGGCTGTCATTGTTGCTGGTGTTAATGCTGTTTCCAGGATAGAGGAAATTATCTACGACTTCAAAGTTATAATTGTCAACAGTGACGCGGGACCCAAATCGCGAGTGCGATGACATGAGTGCATCAAATTAAAATAATCACACGATAAAGAATCACCCTGCCTGAAATCTAGCTTCGGATCGAACGTCTCAGAGAGGTCCTACCCGATTTTGAATGCGCTTCTGGTGTTGCCTGTCGTCAGTTTATACAGCCGTATAAGTTTTTCGGTTGTATCAAATTCAGACACTGCGGTTGACTTACCAGGTCCAGACTGAAAAGGTCGAATCAGTTTGTTGAAGTTTGGTTTTAGCCTTTCTCACACAGGCTGTGCATACGATCATTTTGTGGACTGGGCAAAGCACACTTAAGTTCAAATCTTTATAAAATCCTTTATAAAATCTCTGCTCTGGGCGTGCAGCACAAGCGAAACCATTTTCGAATTTCACGTTATGCGTATTCGCTTTGCTTGCACAAGGTGAAGCATGTTCAAACATGAATTCAAATGATCATGCATATACATACACACACATAGCTTTAAGGATTCGTGTGCAACATTGCAAGTGTAAGGTGTATTTTTTTGTGGCTCCCTGAAATAAAGGAAAATCCTTAATTCAATCCATGTAATGTATCAATGCATGGTTTTAACTTACATGTGAGTGATTCCTTTTCATGTTAGTGAGTGAAGAATTTACCCTGTTAAACACGTGTGTTGTTTTTTTTAATAAAAAACTGACATTTCACACGAACGAGATAGCTAAAGTTTGCTAAAAACAATATAAAAAGCTAAACAAATACAGCTGATCCTGTCACCCAAAGTGAGAACAGTACATCAGCTGTTTGCAAGTGTGACACTTAGCGAAGACACAACCCATCAATTGATAGGGTGATAAGGTGTGTGTTGCAAGATCGGGTTGTGCTAATAATATATAACATACCATAACTTAAATAATATTAATCGAACCAAATAACATAATAATACTAATAACAACATCCAACACCAAAAATAATACTATTAATACAGTAATAATAAGAATTAAAGAAAGAACTAAACATAATTTAATAATATTTATAATAATAAAATTTAATAATATATATAGTTCTTTATAATTGTTTCTCTTTTAAATAAATAAAAAAAATAAATAAATAAAAATTTAATAATACTGATAACAACAACAAAAAAAATTTAATGATAGCAAATAAATTTAATAATAATAATATCAGCAGCAACAATTAAGAGAAACAAAAAATAATTTAAAAAAAAGATCAATAATATTGATAATAATAATTAAAACACCATGAGCGTCCGCAGATCGCCCCCACCCGGGCGATTGAATACTAATAACCAGACGAAACATGCAGACAAATGCTCTAAAAATACGCCAAGTCCTTTTGATAAGTGCCCAAAACTGGTGCGTTCACCGACCAAACCCAATGCATTGAGTCTGATGGGTGAAAAAATCAAGGAGCTCGTCCTGTTGTTGGAAGACGGAAAGCGAAGGTCCATCAACCAACCAATGCGGGACATCATTGCGGAGCTGTCGGTCCTCTTTGAGAAAGCTCTAAGCTCTCGACTTAAAAGTGGGACAAATATGGCTTCACAAACTACCCCTCAGTTGAATAGAGCTGTAAAGAGTTCCAACTCAACCATCCTCTTCAATAAAGGAACCCAAACGAGGGACCATCCTGAGGAGTCCATTTCGCAAAAAATAACCAGCCTTGCTAACAAACAAGGCGTGAAGGTGGCACGCAAGCCACAGCCGCAGGACGTAGAAAAGCCGAAGCAGAGCTCAGGAAGATCGATCCCGGAACCGGTACAAGAAAGGTTTGAAAAAAAAACACTTTTAGCAGACAAAACCAAAACAATTGCTACGGGACAAGTACATAACCTAGGTTCCTGGGAAAAGGTGGTAGCGCGAAAAAGGAGTAATAAATCTGTTAAAGCAGTGAAGCCAGACGCAGTTATATTAAAGAAAGCAGATAACTGTTCTTACGCTGAGATTTTAAAAATAATCAAGACGCAACCGCAACTCCAGCAATTTAGCGAAAGCGTAAAGCGTATAAGAAAAACAGCTGGTGATGAGTTACTGCTGGAACTAAAGAAGCAGGATGCTCAGGCTACTCGGCAGTTTAAGCAAGCCGTAGAATGTGCCATCGCTGATAACGCCAAAGTCCGCACGGTTACTCAAGAAACCTTGCTGGAAATAAAAGATTTGGACGAGATTACTACGAAAGAAGAGGTACTTGAAGCTGTTATAAAGGAACTTAGTGACACACAAATTGAAATTGAATCGTCGTCTATACGTTCCATGCGGCACGC